GTCTGCCTGTGCATAAGCAGCCCTTCTTTCTCCCTTAATTGTTCTCTCCAAGGAGTGTATCTACCTGAGGTAAATGTTCAATTCATAGGCCTGTCTTTTGTTTGGCTTGAAACCACAGGTGTGGGTTCAATTCCAGACCTGAAGGGCAGTTAGGGGCCATAGTCTCAGTGGTTCCACCAGGCTCTATTGGACCAGCAAACCTGGTCCCCACCCCCTCATTTTCCTCCAAATGATTTTGAGTTTTGTTCCACATTGTTTTCCCTCTCTATCAAGGATCTCCTACATAGATCCCCTTACAAGTGGATGACCGTGGTAGCTGGGCATCATGTAGTACTTCTGGTCTCATAGTCGTGTAGGCTGCAGATCAGATGGTGTACCAGTCGCTAGGACTAATTGTTTCCATGAATTTTGGTTTTCTTCATTCTTCTCTGCTCTAGATGAGGAGAGACCCATCATTGCATCTAGATGGCAGTTTGCTAGATTTAATATCCCAGTTGCTACTCACCAAAGTAGGAGGTAGAACAATGTTTTGTATAGTATGTTATGCCAATTGAGCTTGATGTCCCCTGCAACTATGGTCCCTCTGGGTATATGGATGTGACCACAACCTTGCCCCTTGTCAGCTCTACTATATACCTGGGAATTCTGATCATTCACATAAACTTATAGGACCATTGTCTACCAACCCTATACATGGTCTTGGATACACTCCCCATTTCATAGACATACCTAATAGTTCAGCCTATCCTCCCATCTATCCACCCATATACCCATGTTTGCCTTCACTGAAAATGCAGTACTATATGTGCAAAAGTGTTCATATTTGTTGTCTGTACCTCCCATGTACCTCTCTATGTCTTTCTCATCCTCAATGGTGCCATATTGGTCATTCACATTTGGTACATTACCCTTGTCTTCACCCAAATCAATACTTATCTCTATCTATCTAACAGCGTTCCCTCCCCTCCCCTCCCAACCCTGGTAACCAACAAAGAAAATTTCCTTCTATAGATAAACCTTTTTTTAACTTTTACAGTAACAGAGTAATATAATATTTGTCCTTTTGTGATTGATTTATTTCACTCAGCAAAATGTCCTCCAAGTTCATCCATGTTATGCGGTGTTTTGCAGATTCTACGTTATTCTTTAGCGTTGTACAGTATTCCATTGTGTATATGTACCACAGTTTGGTTATTGATGCCTCAGCTGATGGACACCTAGGTTGTTTCCATCTTTTGGCTATTGTAAAGAGTGCTGCGATGAACATGGGTGTGCATATATCCATTCTTGTCATGGCTCTCACTTCTTTAGGGTCTATATCTAGTAACAGAATGGCTGGGTGAAATGGTATTTCTATTTCTAATTTTGAAGGAATTGCCACACTGCTTTCCACAATGGTTGTACCATTTTATAGTCCCACCAGCAGTGTATGAGGGTCCCAATCTCTCCACAACCTCATCAGCATTTGTTATTTTCTGTCTTGTTGAACTTTGCTATTAGTGCTGGAGCAAGATGGTATCTCATTGTTGTTCTGATTTGCATCTCTTTAATAGCTAATGATAGTGAGCATTTTTTCATGTTTGTTGGCCGCTTGAATATCCTCCTTGGTGAAGTGTCTATTCATGTCTTCTGCCCATTTCTTAATTGGATTGTTTGTCTTTTTGTTATTGAGGTGTTGGAGTTTTCTATAAATTCTAGAGATAAGTCCCTTGTCAGATATGTCATTACCAAGTATTTTTTCTCTATCTGTAGGTTCTCTCTTGACTCTTTTGGAGAAGTCTTTGGAAACACATAAAAATTTAATTTTTAGAAGGTCCCAATCATCTGGTTTCTCTTCTGCTGTTTGTGCATTTTGAGTTATGCTTGATAGTTTATTTATGACATATATTAGGGCCCTTAAATTTGCCCCTAGATTTTCCTTGAGGAACTCCATAGTTTTAGGTTTCACATTTAAGTCTTTGATCCATCTGGAGTTCGTTTTTGTGTGTGGTGTGATGTACAGATATTGTTTCATTTTTCTGCAAACGGATCTCCAGTTCTGCCAGCACCATTTATTAAACAAACATTCTCTTCCCTTTAATGGATTTTGGCCCTTTGTCAAAGATCAGCTGACCATAGGATGATGGATCTATTTCTGGGTTCTCTATTCTATTCCACTGGTCTATGTATCTGTCATTAAACCAATACCAGGCAGTTTTGACTACTGTGGCTGTATAGTAGGTTTTGAGATCCGGCAATGTGAGACCTCCTACTTTGTTTTTCTTCTTCAGTAGTGCTTTGCTTATCCGAGGTCTCTTTCTTTTCCATATAAAGTTAGTGACTGGTTTTTCCATATCCCTAAAGAATGTTGATGAGATCTGGATTGGGATTATGTCCATAAAAAATAAACAAAAAAGATTACTCTGGCTGCAGGATAAGAGAATGGGATGAAGGAGACACATCAATGATGACGGTAGGTTGACCTAAGGGAATAGTAATGAGGCTGGACATCAGCAGACGAACTAAAACACCATGAAGGATTTATAGCAGGTGAACAGCTATGGAAAATGAAAGAGTAAGAGATGAGGAGGACCTCAGGGTACAGATTTGAAGACAGAGTAGATGTCTATGCAATGCCCTAAGAGAGGGCACAGAGGAGTGAAGCCCTTGTGGCGACTAGCTCCTCATAAAATGAGAGAAGATGTCTAAGAAAATCTTAAGGTCTTTAAGACCCCCTGACGATAGCAATAATAAGGAAATAAAAGCTTGGACAGCACAGAGCCTAGGAGATATACCAACAACGCAACCTGGCAAAAGACAGAGAGGCTCAAAATGATCAGAGAAATGTGAAGCGGGAGTCAAATTGGTGTCTACAACAGACTCACTTAAGCAGAGAGCATCTAAAAACACCTAGAGGTGGGGGTTCATAGGGAAGTGTGAATACCTAAAATTGAACTAAGGATCCATGGAGATCAGAAGAAAGAGCCTAGCAAGTATAAACACGTAAAACTGCGAGCTACTGTAATATTAACAATCAGTTTGAATACGTGTTTTGGGATTACTACACGCACTGATTCCACTAAGGCAGCCTTTAAATAGCTACCCTAGCTCTCACCCCTACAACTTTTGTAGCTGTATCAGATGGATAAACATTCAAAATAGTGGTCTTGTGATCTGCACTGTGTTATGAATAGGTCTGTTACAAATCATGCTTGGGGAAGCAGTTCACAGTAGTGATGGTGCAAGGCAAATAAGGACCAGGAAAGAGCATGTTGATTAGCTGATCAACAACAGAAGTTTTAAAGGCACCAACTCAAGACAACAGGAGGAGGAATGTTCTAATAGTCATTGCTTCTTAAAATGTGGTCACCTAAGATAGAAGGAGGGAGCTCTGGTAGTATAGTGCCTAAGGCACTTGCCTGCTAACCAGAAGGCTGGCGGTTCCCACCAGCCACTCCTCGGAAGGAAGATGGAGCAATCTACTTCCGTAGTGATACTGCCTCAGAAACCCAAGGAGGGGTCGTTATGAGTTGGGGCCGACTTGACGGCACATAACAACAACATGCTAGATGGAAACCACTTATGAGCATAGAATGGAAAATGAGTGAAAAGGTTTTTTAAAACCTCACATATTGGAAACCAAAGACTCAAAGAAGAAACTAGTCCATAGGATTAAGCCCACACAATCAGGTCATAGCCTAATCCAATCTGCGATCAGGAAAACTAGATGGTACTCGTTTATCACTACCAACCATTCTGACCAGGGACAAAATAAAAGGTTCCCTGATAGAAAACAGTGAAAAAGTGGAACAAAACTCAAATTTCTGAAAAAGGCCAGACTTACTGGACTCATAAGAGACTAGCAGCAGCTTGAACTTGGTACTGATGCCACTCCCAGTGGTCATGCAAGTAACAGACTGGCTTATAAAGTAAATACTACAGGTGAATACTGTGCTCCTTTAAATAATCAACTATACGAGGCCAAATGGTCAACTTTATCCTAAAACAAAGATGAAAAGCTAAAGAGAGGCAGGGAAGCTAGATAAAGAAAATGGAAATAATGAGAATGCTGACACATTGTGTGAAAATTATAGCCAATGTCATGGAACAAGTTGCATAAAAATTGTTAAATGGGGCCCTACTTTCCTAATGTGCTATGTAAACTTTAACCTGAAACACAGTATTTAAAAAAAAAAAAAAAAAGAAAGAAAACTCACATATTCATGTCTAAAATGCTTTAAAAGGCTAATTTAACACAGTGGAGAAAATAATATTATCCTGTCTTCTTAAATATGCTGCGCAGCCGATACTATGTTATAAATAGAGAAAACCTCCCACAAGAAAGCTGGCAAATGGAAAAAGAGAGCTATTTTAGGTTCCCTCTCTCTCCCTCAAGGAGCTCTGGTGGCATGTGGATAAGGCATCTGGCTGCTAACTGGAAGGTTATCAGTTCATAACCCAGTAGCTGTTGCACAGAAGGAAGATGGGGTGATCTACTTCCATAAAGATTTACACCCTTTGAAACCCAGTAGGGGTCTCTATGAGTCAGAATCGACTTGATGGCAGTGAGTTCAATTTGTTTTGTTTTTTTCCCTTCAGTCTTGAACAGCAGGGTGAAGTATTTTTACAAGGTAGCAGATTTTTGTCTTGAAAATCATAGATATTTCAATCTGGCAGAAATTATTGGGACAACAGTCCAAGACAAGCTCTGTGTGCAAATTAAAAACAAAAGACAATTAGTGCCTGAAAGAGACTGTATCTTCTTTTAGTATCTGTAGTCTTCATGAGGCTGAGTGACATACATAATGAACTCACTGAAGAAGGTTACCCATTAGGACAAGATCTACTATTACTACCTTCGTCCTTCTGCCTGCTGATTTCATAACCTAGAACTGCCATTCAAGCATACAGTCAACTCCTATTAGGTACAAGCTGCTTTTATACAAATGTTCCCAATTACCTAAAAACAACATGACCATTCATGGCTTAAGAGAGCCTGTCAAAGAGCTGTCAGGGCAAACCTTGGCTTTAGTTGCAGCTGAGGCAAGAGCAGCTGCTGCGGCTGTGGCTACATTTCCTTCAGAAATTTCATGTTCTACTTTCTTCTTCCCGATATCACTTTCTCTTTCTTTACATGTATCAGTGAGTTCCTTGTTCTCTTCAGCCTCCTTTTCTTCTGAAAAAATCAGAAACCTGTATTACCAGTGTGTCCAATCCCAATAGCCCATATTACCTCTCACTTCTCCAACGTGACTGACAAGGACTGATGTTACAAAAAGATCTCAGGGTCTTTTTCCTCTCTGTAAGATTTTTCTGAACCATTTGTATACGTTTAAATCTGCTTCTATTTAGGATGGATTTTCTAAATGGTTCATTCTGTCTTCCCCTTCTCTGTATCCTGTGTGCACCTTAAGTTATAAAAAAAAGTCCAAGGGAACTAAGTCACAAGACCCACATGTTTGTGTAACTGTCAATGAAATGTTCTAAGAAACCCTCAGTCCAGAGATACCAGAAGCTGAGAACAGAGAACTTCTGCAAGCCTCCTGAGAATGGGACAACGTGATGTGTCAGCAATAGACACTAAAAATAACACAGCAGATCTGTGTGGTGACATGAGTCACGATGAGTAACTTATTCATCCACATACTACTGAAAATGAAAAGGAAAAAAGCCTAGCCACCAGTATCAACACTGGAACCTACCAGCAAAATTAAACTCAAACACATATGTACTGTTACATTAAGGACAAACCCAAAATAAATCAGGAAATATTTCTACACAATTAAACAGCCCATATTTCTCCAGTACCTTCCACGGATTTACATAGTAATTTGCGTTTCCTCAAATTACCTGATTTAATATCCTCACTAAGTTCACTATCCTGTTCCTTCTCACTAGTTTTTTCATTTTCTCCATCTTGTGCTTTATCACCATCATTCATTTCATTTTCACCTTTGTTTTCCGTCTGAAAGGGATATAAGAGTAGAGAACAGGGAGTGAGTAAAACATGGTTCTTGTCCAAGTAATATTATCTCAGACTAATAAAAGGTTCCACTATTTCTGACAAACTGGACTAGGTTCAGTAGTGCCTTGAAGGAAAAAACTGAAAAAGAACTTAATACAGTCAGAGAAAAAAATCTTTCACCAAATCAACACTGATTGCTCCCAAGATAATGCACATTAGCACAGAGTCCATGCTCCCTCTGCATCCTGCTTTAAGGCCAAAGTTACAAATGCCAAAGCAGTGTCAGGGAAATTAATCAGTATTACTTATTAAATAGGTAGATAAATTTATTAAATAAATGTTCCAATGAAACTAGAGCATGTAAATTCCATGCCACCAACCAAGAAGCAAGATAAAATGTTTGCAGAATAAAAAGCTGACAAAATTCTCAACATAACCATTTGCTAATGGGTTTTTAGGAAAAGCACCAATGAAACAGTGGTGATCATGTTCTGGGGAGTGAACACCTCAATACTTCAAGTCAATACTTGGTATCACTTACTGATTTTGATATACCTCTGACCTTGGAAAAATTACGTAAAATCAACTACAAATAGGAAGATACTATCATTGACTTGATGTGGTTGTTTCAGGAATTAGATGAAATCATAAATGTAAAGCCCAAAGCATGGCACTTGGAACAGTGTAGGGATTATACTGAATTTTACCATTATCTTCAACCTCTCACCTTGCTGTGATGTAATTTTTTTTTTTTTTAATTGTGATTTGGGTGAAAGTTTACAGAGCAAATTCACTTTACATATAGCAGTTCACATATACTTTGCCTCATGACACTGACTACAATTTACCCCAATGCAACAGCTCCACTCCCACTTCCTTCTGATAGTTACCTCTTCCCAGTGTCCAGCCCTCCATGCATTCCTTCCCCTGAGCTATCTTCCTGTGCATAAACAGCCTTTCTGTCTCCCATGATTATTCTCTCCAACGATTGTATCCACCTTAGGTAATGTTCAACTCCTATGCCTGTCTTTTATTTGGCTAGAAGCCACAGGTATGGGTTCAATTCCAGACGTGAAAGGCAGCTAGAAGCCATAGTCTCAGTGGTTCCACCAGGCTCTATCAGATCAGCAAACCTGGTCCCCCCTGTTTTCTCCCCCCCAAATGATTTTGAGTTTTGTTCCACATTGTTCTCCCTCTCTATCCAGGATCTTCTTCCTAGATCACCCTCTGAGTGGTTGACAGTGGTAACTGGGCACCATCTAGTTCTTCTGGTCTTGAGTCATACAGGCTGAGGATCACATGGTGTGCCAGTCGGCAGGACTAATTGTTTCCACGAATCTGGTTTTGTTCATTCTTCTCTGCTCTGAACGAGGAGAGACCATTGTTACATCTAGATGGCTGCTTGCAAGCTTTTAAGATCCCAGTTGCTATTTGCCAAAGCAAGATGTGAATGTTTTTTGGAGTATGTTATGCCAATTGAGCTTGATGTCCCCTGTGACTATGGTCCTGAGCCTACAGGTTCAACTACTCGCTCCGTCTGGGTAGCTGGCTGTGACCAAGAAGTGACTACAACCTGGTCCCTTGTCAGCTCAACTATACACCTGGAAATTCTTACAGATCATACAAATACAGTTGTAGAAACATTGTCTACCAACCCTATACACGGTCTTGGGCACATAGACATACCTGCATAGACATACCTAATAGTTCAGCCTGTCTACCCATCTATCCACCTGTATACCCACATTTGCCTTCACTGACAAGGCAGTACTGTATGTAGGAAACGGTTCATTTTTGTTGTCTGCTTAGTGCCATATAATTTTAAGACTACATTCAACCAAGGCCTTAAATCCTTGCCTGTATGTATCTACACAAATAATAACTGACAGCCACTATGTACTATGGTAGTATGGGGGATACTAAGATCCAAATCCTGGAAAGGATGACATGTCCCATTCTGGCTAGTACATCTTCTATTAACAGCCTCTTTGACACAGTAATCAGGTCACTAACATACTGGGCATTTTGATGCCCTTCACACACTGACTTTAGTGAGTCCCTTCCTGGCCAGTTGGAATCTTTCATTCTCTATCCTCTGTTTCAAGCTTTTATAGTTCTACTTTTTCTTTAAAACCTAGCTCAAATGTCATCTTTTCATTAAAACTTCTATATAGCCTTCTGCTGACTGTTAAGGCAAGAGAAAATCCACTAATATTTTGGTATTTTCTTTTGTCACAAATTTGGGACCTAAACCCTACAGTTCATAAAAAACTGTAACTTTCTATACTTTTATTCCCAACTATGTATCAAGCTGGATTAATTGTCAATGAATGAATAAATATAAAATGTCCTATTTATGCCACAGTAGAAGGAGACCTCAGAGCAGCAGAGTCTAAGTGGCTGATAGAGATAGAGGACCATTCACAGTCCCGTGAGAGGTGGTCATAAGACACGGGAGAAAAAAACAACCCAAAACATTATGCTCTCTGAAAGTCATGCTCTTGTGGTTTTCCTGCCATGGGAGAATTAAAATAGATAGACTTTACCTTTTCAGACGGCTGACCATCAGTGTCCGTTTCCATTTTTTCCTCTTCAACTCCTTCTACAAGTAAAAAAGAAAATAGTAAGAAGAACAAGAAATCTAATATGACAGGGAAAAAAAATAGTAGTATTACACAGCCATGAGTGTCTGTAAATACAACTAACCACAGAAATACGAATGAATCTCATAATATTAAGATTGACAAATGAAGTCAGATACAAAACAACACATACTCTATGATTCTATTAATTTGAAGTTCAAAAACAAGCAAAAATCATCTGTGATGTTAAAAATCAGGATAGTAGTTGACTGGGGAAGAGGTAGTGACAGAAAGGAACTACCAACACCCTTGGGGTGCTGATAGCCTGCTAACGGGAGTCTGTTCAATTTGTGAAAATACATTCCGCTGCATACCTAGCGTTTTCACTTTTCTGTATATATAACACCAGAAAGTTTTAAAAATTTTAAAGGAAAAAAATAAAGACAAGTTGTTATTATATAATAGACATCCAATAGGTTTGTATTCTGAGTCAGGTACTAGAGAAATAATCTTGAGCAAGATGTTCACTGGATCCTCAAGAGCACTACATTCTGGTTGGAGAGACACAAATATTGTTGGTCATGACTAGATTGGGGAGATCAGAAAGGATGAGATAATGCTGGTAAAGAACACATAGTAAAGTGCCCTGAATGTGGTAGTAAGGGTGTCTTGACTGCATCCTATATATAGGAAACTAAGATTTTTAAAATAAAAACATAAGATAACCAGATAAATATTTTTGGCTCTAGAATTTCATAAAAAACAAGTACTTCAAGGGTAATAAAGATTTGTTGCAATTAAAAAAAAAAGTTCAGACATCCTATAGCTTAAATTTTTATATTATAATCTTGTTATGATATGGTAGGAGCTATGGTAGCATAGTGCCTAAGGCACTTGACTTTTAACCAGAAGGCTGGTGGTTCAAACCCACCAGCCACTCCTCGGAAGGAAGGTTGGGCATTCCTACTTTCGTAGTGATACTGCCTTGGAAACCCAAGGAGGGGTCGCTATGAGTCGGAGCCGACTCGATGGCAAATAACAACAACAACAACGATATGGTAATAGAATTTACCCTCAATAAGAGTATTTAAATACATTTAAACAAATATATTTAACAGTAATAATTAAAGAATGTTCAAAGTGTGGATTAATAGGAAAATCCTCTTTCTAATGCCTTTATGGAAGGAATCAAATCCTGCTTTCTGAATTATGGCTGAGTAAGAGTTCCATGAAACCATCCCACTAAAGAACAAAAAAAAAAAACAGAAGGGATATGGCATTTTGTGACATCATGAATCTCCCATAAAGTAGAGAATCCTATAGGGATCACCATCTTTCAAAAATTACAAAAATCCTACTGTACAGAACTGAAAACACAGTGTGGATGAATTGGGGCCAGGACCTGAGCAGTGGGCAACTGTAGGGGCAAGGTTGCTCAGATGACAGTATCTGTGAGAGTCTGCCATCGGGAAGCTGAGTTGTGGACTAGCTAGGTCCAGGACAGGGAATGGAAGGCTGGGATGCCTGCAGAGAGCTGGCCCCAAGTGAATGGCAATCCCTGGCTATCAGAAGCAGCAGAAGGAAACCCTCCACAGGATAGTTTTTCCAATCCCTGATGTTAGCCAAGAGTACTTACAAGTAAAGAGCCCAGAAGAGCAAACACCAAAAAGGTTAGCCACTGAGACTGAAAACGGAATCATTAATCAACAGATTACGAATCCAAGAAGTGCCAGTATTTGATGTTAGATCCTAAGTATAGAATACCCATAGATGCAATGTATAAGTAAAAAATAGGATCAGAAAGATCATCAACCAACACAAGTATATCAGAAAAGACCAGAGATTTAAAAAAAAAAAAAACCTTAAAGAAATTTCTGGAAATGAAAGTCATATTAAATAATAGATTAGACCAGGAAAAAAAGAGAATTATGGAATTGGAAAACACATCCAAGAAAAGGCAATAAAGGACAAAAAGATGGGAAATACTGAAACACAAAAAAAGATAATGCAAAAATGAAACCAAGGAATGGTGGGTGGCCTTTCCATGGCATTGTCAGTCAATCTGCAGTCCCTGGGCAGCGCTGAACTGTTAGCACCTGTGGCTGTTAAATCGGACTGCAGTTCCCGGCCACCTAGAGACTTCCTGGACAAAAGGCCTGATGATAAATTTCTAAAAAACCTGGAAACTCTAAGAAGCATAATTTAAAAACAAACGTTTTTTGTGTGTTTTAGGTCAAAGTTTATACGAAGAGTTAGTTTTCTAATCAATAGTTCATACACAAATTGTTGTGTGATATTGACTGCAACCCTCACAATATCAGCATTCTCCTTATTTCCTCCCTGGGTTTCCCATTTCCATCTGTTGAGTGCCCTTCTCCTTCTGTCTTCTCATCTTTAGTTTGAGGCAGATGTTGCCCTTTTGGTCTTGCATAATTCGCTGTTCTGAGGAACACATTCTTCACAGGTGTTATTGTTTGTTTTACAGTCCCATCTATTTGATGGAAAGGTGACCTCCAGGAGTGTCTTCAGTTTCAAGTTAGAAGGTTATCCTGAAAGTTCCTCAAGTTCCTTTCAGACCAGTAAGTCTGGTCTCTTTTTTTGTTTTTACTTTAAATTTTGTTCTATATTTTTTTTACCCATTCTAAGCAGGAACTTACACTGTGGTCTTGGTCAGAATGGTCAGCAGTGGTAGCCAGGCACCATCTAGTGCTTCTAGTCTCAGATTAGAGACGGCTGTGGTTAATGTAGGCCATTAGTCCTTTGGACAAATTGCTTCCTTTTTTTTTTTTTTTTTTTTAAATCATGATTTGGGCAAAAATTTACGGAGCAAATATACTTTCCATACAGCAGTTCACATACACTTTGTCTCATGACACTGACCACAATTTACCACAATGCAACATACAAATTGCCTCCTTGAGTCTTCATTTTAATTTGTTCTTTGCTCCAGGAGGGAAGAGACCAATAGTTACTTTTTAGATGGCTGTTCAGAAGCTTTTAAGACCGCAGACATTACTCACCAGAATAGAATGCAGAACATTATTTATTTATGAACTGGAGCACAGTTCTATTCTGACCCACATGAGGTTGCCATGAGTTGGAATCAATGCAACAGCAACTGGTTTTATTAGTCAACGCAGGCATTAAAAGTAAAGGGCGTTATTAGAAATAGAGACTCAACACAATGAAGAAAAGATTTAACTCACCAGAAAGTTATTCTATTTCTATAATATAACAGGAATTTTATGGGTATGATAGTGTCAAAATATGTAATGCAACACTGACAGAATGGCAGGGAGAAAATGAAAACAAATCGCTACCACAAGATCATGGCACGTATGGACACAATTACCAAGATCATCTAATGCACATGGATCATTAAACAAGTCTTCACGTACTTAAAAAAAAAAAAAAAAAAAGCCATAAAGACCAAGCTCTCTTACTGCAATGTAATGAAATAAAAAATTCAAAATACAAAGATAAAATTCTCAGTGCTTGGAAACTTAATTATAGGATATAGAGAAAGTAGTAGTTACAAGGAAATACAAGGCCTTACACTTGTGTTAAAAAAAATTTCATAGTTTATTAGCTATCTGTCCATATTTAGAAAGAATAACAAAACACAGGCAGTCAGAAGAAAAAAAAAAAAATGAGAAAAGAAATCAAAGAAAGTACAAAACAAAAATACAACTGAGAGAATCAATACACCCAAAAGTCGGTTCTTTGAAATGACAAATAAAATGGGTAATTCTCTGGTGTTGACTGATCGAGAAAAGAGAGAGAAAGCACAAACTACTTTAGGAATGGTTAAAAAGGTCTTAACTACTGATAAAGCAAAGGTATAAAAAGGAAGTGATGAAGTATTGTGAAGAATTTTATGCCAGTAAAATAGAAGTGTCTGATAAAACTCAATAGACTTCATGATCAAAGTTCCTGGAAAACAAGGGCTATAAGCAAAATTCTGACCCCAAGAGAGACTGTTAACAAAAATCCTACAGGGAATGTCATTCTTCACGGAATGATGCCAACACTATTCCCTTTAAAATCAAGAGTAAGACAAGTATACTAGTTGTTCTGGTTACCTAGTGCCACTCTGACAAGAAATATACCACAAATGGGATGGCCTGAACAAACAGGAGTTTATTCTTACAGTTTGGAGGCTTTAAGTCCAAGTTCAAAGTGCCAGGCTCTAGGGGCAGGGTGAAAGCCCCTTAACCTTGGGGTCCAGCTCTACCTCCTGCTCCCGGCCCACTGGAGCTAGAGAGTTTCTTCACTCAGACAGTTGCTGTCTGCTGAGGCTAAGAAGCCCCAAGGTTGACAAGTAAAAAGGCACAGTCTCAATGTTACCAACCACACAGCAGGCCATTAACTTAATTCCATTGTAAGTCCCAAGGTCGGCAGAGCATAGCAGGCAGCTGAGCAACGACACGGCTACATACAGGGTCCAAACGTACCATAGGCTACAGACCATTCATTTCCCAAGGCTGCTGCTTAAATACGGGAAGCAGACCACATTCCCTGAGGCAGCTACTCAGCTGCTCACAGTAGATTCCACCATGAAGTTGAATACCAGTCTCATCATGGGGAATACTACATCCAGCTGCCCAGCCACTCAACCAGGCCCAGCTAAGTTGACACAAAAACATAACCACCACACCAGTATTACTACTTTTATTCATACTGGCCTGTAGGTCCTGGTCAATGCAGCCAATTAAGAAAAAGGAAAAGAAACTAAAGTAAGAAGATTGGAAAGGAAAGACGAGTAATGATTTGCAAAGAATAAAACTATATAAAAGAATCTACAGGCCAGTTTTCAGAAATTATCACAGGGTTTATAGCAAGGTGGTTAGCTATAAAATTAAACAAAATCAAGCACATTTCAAAGTATTAAGAAAAATTAATTCTAGACAAAGGCATAAAAGTGATAAATTTGAATGACACAAAATAGTGCTAACCATTAAAAAAAAGGGACAGATTTAACTCTGATAAAATGAAGGACTTTTTTTCATTAAAAAACACC